TTAACTTATTTATTCAAATTTAAGTAAATTATTCATTCATGTTTCAATGTGATTTTTAACGAATAGGTTGTATCATTTATAAATTAGATTTTTAAACATTTTTTTTTTATAATCATTTGAAGAACAATAACAAAAAAAATTTTTTTGAGTACTTCACAATTTTAATATTGTTAACGTTTAAATAATTCACAATTTAGTTAAATTTGTAATAATTTGTGCATAATTACTAGTTAATTTACGAATACGATTTCAACGTTATTTTAAAAAATCTTCCATTCATTTAATAGGCAAAAATAGATTATTTCAGGGGCATTTCAAACATTTTTTTTTTTTTTTTTTTTTTGATAAATTGAATAAATGAGAGCCAAATCTAAATTTAAAATTAATATGCTTATAAAAAAAAGGCATTGTCTTATTATTAAAAACATCTCCCAAATTCAGTTTAACATAAGCTTAAAAAAAAAAAAAAAAAAAAAGGATTTACAAATGATGTAATTAAAATTAATATTGTACTTATTTTAATAAATATTTCAATGCATAGTAGAAAATTATTTCGAGTTAATGTGTGTGCGAGTGTTTTCATTTTTATAGTAGCGGAGAACTAACTATGAGGAGACATTCTAAAACTCAAACTTATAAAAGCTTTTACAAAAATAATAATAATAATAATAATAATAATATCAATGGTTTTAAAATGGAAACATGCAAAATTTTTAATTTTATTGTTTGCTAAATCAGCAAATAATCAATCTAAGATTTTAATTTTAAAGCAAAAGGTCATAATTTTTTTTAGGATAAATTTAATGAACGAATATTTTTACAAATAGATTGATATCAAATACAAATAGATATATATTGATATAAAGATATGTCATTTGATTAAGTTTCTAATCTTTAAATTATTTTTATTTATAATGATATTTGAGATCATTTAAGACATCCTTTTTTTTACTCCATCAGATGGGATAAATTTTCCCAACTATTTCATATTTTTGACTAACAATATATCAGCTATCTAAATGGGCAAAGAAAGGGGAAGGGGGAATTGCGTGGATTTTACTGCATAAATTGAAGTTGCAAACTCAGCTGCGCATAAAAATATAACTCATAAATTTATTTTAAATATTATAAAATGTGAAGTTCGCAAAGTAAATGACATAAACTGCAAGAACAGCTACAAGACCAATCGCGTGATCGTATCGATTAAGTTAATGTTTAAAAATTGTTCATCTGTACAATTTTTTTTTTTTATTTCTGAATAAAAAATTATATCATTAGGTAGATTAATCGCTGCTAATAATTTGTGTAAAAATAAATGAAAAGTAGTTTTTTTTTATGATTTTTTTTCAGAAAACATAAAAGCCGTTTTGTATAAGTGGTTTCGATGGGACCTAGAATAAAGAAAATATCGAACTTCTGAATGAACAATTCTAGCGTCTACACTATTGAGTATGTTAAATAAGACCTGTAGGGTTTGAGGCCTAGATTCTAGGTATGAATCCTTTAACATCTGAAGAAACCAACATTGAAATCATAAAAAATGGTCAACATAAAATAGTCAGCTTATATAAAATAATCTACTATCCAATTTCCGTTGCCAAAGGAGAAGGAGAGTATACTTTATGTAACTGAAATGGAGAAGTTTTAAATAATTCTGCTGGAGTAGGTAAAATTTAAAAATCCGCAATTTCAATATACAAGTGATATCCAAAATTCATACAAGTGATATCCAAAAATATTCAAAAAAAAAAAAAAAAAAAAAAAAAAAAAAAACATTTTCAAAACTTGAAGTTATTTATTATTTAAAGAAAATTTTTTTTTATCGATTAATCTGGGGAGTAAAAAAAAAAGTATTTTAGCCATTTAGTAGTTAAATAATCAATTTAATAAAATGTTTTGATAATTATTGGGAGCTTAGGGCAACAGTAGTTATAATAATAAGCAGTAATTTAAAAAGATTTTCTGTATATATTAGATGTATCCAAATTATGCATGTCGTTATATTGAAATTACTCTGAAGCAGTGAAATGAAGAAAAATGCAACATGTCGCCATGGATGGGGCTCTATAAAGCTGACAAAATTGCAAGAGTTTTTGAGCGATTTTAGTTTTATTAATCGCTTTTGAAAATAGCTTGAACACAGAACATTTCAATTTTATATTAAAATACATTACAGACTGTCGATTAATTGTTTTATTATTTTTTTTTTATGCTAGTTAAGAATTTTAAAAGGTATTGTAACGGTAACGAAGTTTTTAATATAGAGATGTTCAATGAGAAATAGCATATTAAAATACATAAGCACCTTTCGAAAATTTCAACATATTAATTGATGTGTTGAAATTTTTACGACACAAGATAGTTCTTATAATTTTTACAAATTAATATCCGATACGATTGAACAAAATATATTATTCCTTATTATTCTTTGAACGAAAATATTAATGAGATTCAGATTCTTTTACACTTAAAAAATAAATAAAACACTTTTATGCTACTTATTTTTTAAAAATTTGTTCGATTTTAATTGCTTGGTAAATTTTTAATTTTTATTATTTAAGAAATTAAAAATTAAAATAGTAAATAGTCCTATTCAATTTAAGGACATAAACATATAGTTAAAAAATTGAGATTTTCTTTCTCCGGAATTTGAAGATCTCAAATAAATAATTAGTAGGAAGGTTATTGCAGTTTTATGTCGAAATTATCCTAAAACAAATGTTAACTAGAGAGGAAATGATTCTAAAAATTTATACTTAACTTAAATTTAATACCTTATATAAAGTGTTAAAAAAAAAAAAAAAAAATTAATTTTGAATTTTTTTTTTTTTTTACACTTTATATAATTGTAAAAAAATCATGTCTTAATCTTCAATTGTAAAAAAAATCATATCTTAATTTATATGAATTGTAAAAATAATGCAAGAACCCCTGATTTGTTTTAAATCTGTTTTTAACTTCTTTGGTACCAAGTTTAATTGACAAACTGATTGTTTGAAATTGACCCCAGGATTGATTGATCTTTCCGACAAACCACCTTTTGTCAAAGACCTTTCTCAAAAAATATTTTTAAAAGCGTAAAATAAAATAAAATCCAATTATTTTTAAAAGAAATAACAAAGATATGATCATTAATAACGCATGACCTGTTTCTAAGGTACATTTTATATCAATTAAATATACTATAAGCACACCACGAATAGTTCTAAGATTTAATCACGAAGTTGTTTGTCTTCAATTAAATTGTTATGTAGCGGATAACAATTTAGTATTTCTACTGGTAACCACCCACACAAGTAATGCTGCTTATAATTTATTACCTTAGATTCGTATGAGAAATGCCATATTTAGTTAAGAGTTAGTATATTACCTCTTGAGCCAAATCCAAGCACTCGTGGTGAAAACTCCATATTTTAAATGTAATAAATTTTTAAATTCATATGCTTTTAACATATTAAAATCCATAATTTGAAGCATTAAAAAAAGAAAAACAATTAATAAAAGTGAAGTTGTTTGTCATCAATTAAATCGTTATGTAATAGTCGTCGTTATCTATAGTCAAGTTATTATTTCTATTGGTAACCACCGATACAAGTAATGTTGCTTATAATTTATTGCTTACATTCATAAGCAATAAATTATAAGCAACAAATTATAAGCAACCTAAAAATACCATATTTGGTTAGAAGTCAGTATATTGCTCTCTTGAGCCAAATCCAAGTACTCTTGGTGAAAACTCCATACTTTAAAAATGTAATGAATTTTAAATACATATCTTTTAACGTATTTAAACCCATAGCTTTAAGTAATTAAAAAAAGTTTTAATAAAAACTCCATCTAACGATGAATGAACACATACATTTTGAAACTTTAATCTTTAGACATAACTTTACAATAATTATGGCAGAATTTTCAAAACTGTGAACTGTGGTAACTTTTGTTGAAATAGGGTGGGAGGAGGAAAATTGAATTGTTATAAAAAAAAAAAAAAAAAAGGGTAGAGCACCCTTGGTTCTGAACGGCACAAGTACTATAATTCAGGAAATGAAGTGTAGATGAAGTGGAAATTGATTCAAGGGGTCTTGAGCGCGTTACTAAATGATGAATCGGAGAGGACTTTCCTTTGACCCAAGAGACACTGTTCCCCACGCTCAAAATCCGACCGCAAGGGATGTAAAACCCACAGGCCTCTCGACAATGGCATTCTTTCAGGCCTCGGGCTAGGCCGACCCCTCCCGCTTCAATTAGTACCACTAACTGGTTATCTGATTTCCCGATGGGTGCGTAATCTGGTTCTGCTGGAACCAGAGTGAAAGACTATTTTCTGCTCACTTGGGTTTTTGATGTCATTGAAGTTGCGAAGTGATTTTTTTTTTTTTTTTTTTTTTTTTAGTACATGTAGTTATCGACAGGGAGGGGCGTATGAGTCGTTCGTCACTCCCCCCTCCCACGATTGTCTGGAGTCAGATTGCTCAGGAACAGATGCTGAAGGGAGGGAAATTCATAATTTCCGGAAAAACGTCTGCATGCTGTTAATGCAGTTCAAACGCTTCGTTCAAGTAATTGTCTGGCAGTGAGGAAATTAAGTGATTTGTCGAATGTGCAATGTTGGAAATTTCTTTCAGGGGGTTGCGTTTTCCTTTAATAATTAAAAAATTTTATTCTGTGTTTTTATTTAATATTCTCTACAAAAACTTTTCATTCATTGAATTTATGTTGTTGTTGTTTCTTATCCCCACTTGGCTGGCCAAGCCCACGAGCCCATACGTGCTCATGATTGAAGGGGAAGGAAGCAGCTTCTGTTGTGAGGGAGCACCCGTAGGTAGAAGCCTGACTTTTGCTCCGTGACGCTCTTACAGTCATAAAGACCGGGACCTACGGCTTAAAGTGGATTCCGAACCACTACAAACATCCATGGCACCGCCGGGATTCGAACCCGAAACCTGTGGCACCGAGCGCCAGAGCGCTAGACACTCGGCCATTCAGGTCCCAAATTTGCCAACGGCACGCAGTGTTCCCAGGTGGTCACCCACCCAAGTACTGACCGCGCCCAATGATGCTTGACTTCGGTGATCATTGAATTTATAGCACTCGAAATTGAATCTTTTCAACAAAGAGTTTAATAGTAGGGGAAATATTTTGTTGAACAATGTGCACATGATGAACTCCTGCTTTAATTGTTAAGCAGGCAGGAGGTGTTTTTCTTAAATTTTAATTTGTGCTAATCTTCTTTTATTTTTATTCTTTAATTTAAGAAATTTCATTTTGTGCTAATTTTCTATCTATATTAAGATGTGGAGGTATTGTGGCTCTTAAAGCCACCTAGGAACTCCGTAATCGGTACGCCCGTTGCCCGTTGCCCCCCACAGGATGAAAAATACGGTACAATACATAAAAGATGAAAAACGCTGAAATTAAATATTAAACATAATAAGAAAATATTAAAAGGAAAAAAATATATAAATAGCATGAAATCATATTTATTAAAAATAAAATAAAACGAGATTATTTTTTCTCTATAAAAGTTTTAAACGAAACTATAAAATTATGTTACATTTAAATTGTGATTTTTTAACGAGTATGAAAGACAACTTTTATCTCTAAAAGGAAATTTAAGGTGTTTTTAAATAGATTTAAATTTATTTATACATCATTTTTAAATTTTATATGTTCCCTTATAATAATTTTGATGTAAATTTACATTAAATAAGAAATATAAAAATTAGACATAAATGAAATTTATTGTTTTAATTTCACTTTAATGTATAATATTAAGATTAATCTTTTTATGTTCAAGTAAGTCAAGATGAAGTCATAATTTATAGAAAATTTATTTATAGCTTATTTATAATTTATTTAATTATTAATTTATTTTTATTTTATTTTATTTAATTATTATTAATTTATTTTTATAATTTATTTATAGCCTTTTCTTCATTTAATCAATTGATTTAGGAAAAGGGTCCCGTTACAATGTAAAAAATATTGCTAGGGATTCAAAAACAGACCTTTACTTTAAATAAAGTTTTTCTTTTTGTACTAGGAAAAGCAAAAATATATTGCGTTTATTTTAGAATAAAAATAGCCATTAACACTATAATATGATGAAAAACTAAAATTAAAATTAATTTTCATACATTTTTGAACAATTTACCTACATTTATTATTATTATTTCACAATTTATTTTATAATATTTATTACAATATTCTTACAGCATTTTTGAAGCTTTCATTTCATCAAATAAAAATTTTGACAGAAAATTAAAAAAGTTTAGTTTGGTTTGTCATTCTAAGGTCCTTTTTGTGCACATTTTGGGCTAATTAGACCGGGACCTACAGTTTAACGTGGATTCCGAACCACTGACAAACAGCCATGTTACCGCCAGAATTCAAACCTGAAGCATGGAGTATCAAAGAGCAGAACAGAAAATTAAAAAGCATCATAAGAGTTATACAATTCTGACAGAATTTAATTTCGATTTAATGATATTTTTTATGAGAAATTCGAATAACGAAATACAATATTAAATTTACTATATTGTATTAATGTATAAATAAGCTTCAAATCAATTAATTAGTGACAATTGTTGTAAATAATTCGTAATGAATTTACTCTTTTTTGTTCTTAATGAAATTTGAGAAATGACACATATAAGAAAGATTAAAAGATAGTATAAAAGTAAATATTAAAATCTTTTACTAGCATTAAAATAAAAATTGTGGATGAAGATTTCAGAATTAATTTTCCCACCGTTGTGATAAAATAATAAAATTACACTTTGAAAGAAAATCGGTATAAACTGTCAGTTTAAGTGTTCTATCAAAATTATTTCACAATAACTCCGAAAATGAATTAAACCAAATGATACATGGAATAAAAAAGACATCTCCAGTAAAAAAAAGATCTCCGTCTTCATGCTGTATAGAATTTAAACCTCATTAAAAAAGTGATCTCAATTTTGAAAATTCTTGCGTATCACTTTTTAGTTGAAAAGCTTTTGACAAAAAGTACCTGTTAAATGACTCAGCGTTTAAATGAAGATCCGATATGAATGGTTCCTACAATTACTTAATAACTTCTTGGTCTGGTAGTATAAAAGATTTGATTAATTTGCTCCCAAATATAACTTCATCATTCCCGACGACTTGATTGCTTGATATAATTAACTTAACATTTTCCTTGGGACATCAATCCATTACCTTCAGATGAAGCCATAGAAAAATCACGCTGTTGCCGATATTACTTTTTGTTTCTGAATCTGTCAGCACACATGTCGGCAACTTTTGATCCCTCCCGTATAACCACCTCGGGGTATCATCAAACAATGGAAGAGGGCCACTGAAGACCTCAAACAAAATTGCATTTATCATCGTCAAAAAGGAGATATGATAAATTAATTTGCTTAGCACAATTCGCTGTGGATTTCTTATGGACTGAAACCTTTTCCACATTTCTTGTGCCATCGCAAGATAAGAAAACATGGCATTGTTTTGTTTGGGCTGCAAAACAGTGAACATTATTCTTCCTCCTCCAAGAAATTAATCGCGGGATGGTTATTTATTTGCAGAAACAGTTAAGAGATTGATTAGTTTTCAACGCGGGGAAAGAGTTTGTTGCTGAGTTGTTGAGTTTGTTGCTGCTGGAGCGATCATGCATGCGAAGAGTTTTTGGATGAGTGATGATTTATTAAATTCGACATGGAGATTTCTTCTGCGAATTGTTTGCTGTTTGGGTTTGCGTAATCTGATCAAGATCTGATATTTCTTTTGACAAAAGGGGAATTAATCTTCAGCTTTAATTCGATCATTGACTTTTAAAGAACTGCATTGTGTAACTGAATAATCAGTGTCTACCAGATCAAATGCTGCTGATAAATAAATCTTTTCTGGATGATTCTTTCTTGTTGAGGAATTAATAGGCATAGAAAGAGGAAGATGAACTTTAATTTGAAAAGAAAAGTCTGGAGTATCATTCTTATTTTATAAAGTTACTTTTATTGATTTATATTTCATTGATATAAATATTTTTAAAGATTCTTCTTCTTTTTGAAACTTATTAAATAATATGAAAAGTTAAAATGAATGTGTGTTCACACTAAGGAAAAATTGGATTTGTAGTGTAAAGTAAAAACACTTTATTAAAAATAAAATTAATTTTTTAAATTTACAAAATATTTAAAAAACATTTTCCATGTATTTTTTAGGCTTGATGCATTACATGTATTTTTTATGATTTTTTTAGTTATTTTGATGATTTTTTAGCCTTGTTTCAATTGTGCTTATATTTAATTTTAAGGGGGGAAAATATCCCTAAATCTTGAAAATAAGTTTTTTAAAACTTTGAAATACAATTTCAACTAAAACTTCTTGCTTATAAAATGTAGAAATTAATTGAAATAATAAAAGGTAGTTCCAAGCTATTATTCATAGGTAAAGTAGTGTTTTTGTTAATGAACTTTTATCTGTATTGAACAAGATATACTTGACAAAACTATTCACAATAATTATTATTGAAGATTAGGAGATTAATTTTATTTAGTAGTTAAAAGCATTTATATGAATGACAGTTTGGATCTCGGTAATCGGTCTAATTCTTCAACTATTTTGAGTATACTTGACAAACTATTCATTAAAAATTTACGAATCGAATATAAAAATAAAAGGATTCTTTTTTGTCTCATTAATTTTGAAACCTTTTGATTCTGGGAACAAATAGAGTTTTTATCCTAATAAATGGAAAATAAACATATTATAAACTCCCACAAAAATGTATTATCTTATTGCAACAGCATAGTTGTTTATTATTAATAATAAATAAATTCTTTTAATTGAAATTTACGAACTTTATGAATTCCATATACTTTTACTTGGGATATCTATATCATTAATTTTATTGCGCAACTAAAATCTGTACCTACTTTATCAACTATTTTAAGTATGCTTAATAAGACTGACCAGCTAAAAACTCTGAATTAAACGAATTTAAAAATTAAAAAAATAATTTTTTAACTTCCATTAGCGTTTTTGTAGTTGAGAACAAAATAGATTTTTAACCCCTATAAATGTAGAATAAATTTACAATTCCATTCCTGAATTTGGATTGAGTATTGTATCTTATCTTGTTGTTGTTTCTTATCCCACTTGGTCGACAGCAACATCTAGACAAAATCTATGAACCTGTGTGTGCTTAGACCAACGAGTCATGATAAATGGTAAAAAAACGCAGCTTTTTTACTTTAACTTGTGTTTCTAGTTGATGGAAAAGCGGCATTTTGAATGAACTTTTAAAGATTCTTCTGAATTTTGATATCCATGTAGTTTAAATCCAACATAAATCTCACGCAGACTCGTTCAACTGTTTCGAATACCAATGATAAACCATTCACCAAAAAGCTGAATGAATCAAATGCGATACTGATGCATAGAGTTAATTGCGTTTTTTTTAGTTCACCAAAAGCTGAAGGAATCAAATAAGATAACTCTATGGATATCAAAATTCAACAGTAACTTTAAATATAAGATAAATCTCGTGCTGACTCGTTCAACAATTTCGAATACACATGATAAACCAACCATTCACCAAAAGCTGAACGAATCAAATACGAAAACTGAAAGAAACTCGTTTTTTATTTCCCCCGCTGCATTGACAACCTCTTTGAATCTGTGGACAAATGGAGTTTTGACCCCTATAAATGGAGAATAAACACACAATGTCGTTCGCGAAATTGGATTGAATATCGTATCTCACCAATTTCGTTGTGTACCCAGAGTTACCGGTGGGAGACTGGCCTTCCTCCCAATTGGATTTTAACCCAATAATCACCTGTCCTACTTACTGTTTAGAGTTTCATTTATCTCAACAGCTGACGGTTACAGTGAGTCTCCCCCTTTCTACATTGGTTTTTTTTTCTTCCCTGTCTTCCTGTTTTGGGTTTTCGGAAGTTGGGTTCCCTCAACCCTCCTGCCTTATTGTCTCTTTTTGTGTTATCGTTTGGACGTTAATGAGGTACAAGAGAGACCCCGCAAATTGAATTTAAGCAAACAAGGAGGGAATACCTTTCGATTCATCGGCAAAATG